AAAAAGAAAGAAGAAAAATACATGCCATCTTTATTGATATTTATTTGGAATATTTGTGTATGGTTTAGGTTTCTATTTTTCCCCCTACAATCTATCCCTTCTTGTATTTGACACTACTTTGAAATTGTCTTAAACTGATAAGAGTTGCCCCCAATTAAGTTCTTTCTTTGGTTACTCAAGTCTACAAAACCAACCTTACCTGTAGTAACTGCCTACAGTGTAATTTGACAAATGACATCAAGTCTTCACACCTCAAATATCTTCCCCTCCAATCTGGTATCACCCCTCAAAAGCCCCCCATTTTTGTGGAACATGCTGGCATGGGCCTCTAGGCAAGAGGGTCACAAGTTCAAGACCAGCCTCAGCAACTTAATGAAAACCTATTGGTTATACCAAAGTTCCCAAGTAGGTTTCACATTCATATCACTTGGGTTGGTTTTGTTTTATTTTTATTAACATGTATTATGGGGTTCAATGTAATTTCAACACATACATATAGTATGCACTCACCAAATCAGCATAATTAGAATTTTCCTCTCCTTATCATTTCTTGACCTGACCTCAGACCTACTGAATCAGATTCACTCTAGGATCAATAATTTGGAATTTTGGAGATCACTGGTTTTAAGAAAAAAGGCAGCAATTACCTCAAGAAGGCAAGAATTAAAAGTCACATGTATTGCCTGGAGAGAGTCTCTTCCAATCCTTTCTCCTAAACTGGAAATTGGTTTATTCAACTTGAGTTAATTATCACTTTGAAATAGGCCACCAAGGAGGCTTAAACCTTAAGAGGAAAAATTACAGAACTGGCTTAATTTGGAAGGGAAGGAAGGAACAAAATGTAGTAACCTCTGGGCAGCAATGGGTTCCAGGCCAGAAAATTCAATCCATAAGCAGGGCTTTCTTTGCTTATGTTAACATTTTAAAAGTGGTTTAGCTGGGCATGGTGGATCAGGCCTATAATCCCAGATACTTGGGAGGCTGGGTGCAGGAGGATGGTAAATTCAAGGTCAGCCTTGGAAACTTAGCAAGATCTGTCTCAAAATTAAAAGATACCTTGATCTTAAGATGCCATTCATTTTTGGACTTTTATATTTTGGTACTGGGGATTGAACCCAGAGGTGCTCTGTTGCTGGGCTACATCCCCAGCCCGTTTTTATTTTTTATTTTATTTACTTATTTACTCTTTGGTCCTGTCCATTGAACCCAGGGGCACTTGGCCTCTGAGGTACATCTCAGCCTTTTGTATTGTTTATTTTGAGACAGGGTCTCTCTAAGTTGCTGAGGCTGGCTTTGAACCTGCAATCCTGCCTTGGCCTTCCAAATTCTCTGGGATTATAGGTGTGCATCACCGTGCCAGCTTGATTTTAGATAAAATTCAAATGAGTATCCTGTATTTTAATCATTGTGTATTGATTTTTCTAACTACTCTCCATTTGTGACAAGTGATACTAGTTTTCCATTTATAAGTTATGCAAAATACTTTTTATAAATATATTTGTATTTAAATAGATGAATCAATTTAATGCACACCTGTAATCCCAGGGACTTGGGAGGCTTCAGTAGATGGATCTCAAATTCGAGGCCAGTCTCAACAATTTAGTGAGAACTTGTCTCAAAATAAAATGGACTGAGGATGTAGCTCATTGTAAAGCACCCCTGAGTTCAATCCCCAGAACCACCCCCTGCAAAAGAGGTGAATCAATTAAAGGGAAAAAAATCACTGACAGCAAGGGGTTTCAACAAAACTTTTTAAAAGAATATTTGTAGTTGTAGATGGACACAATACCTTTATCTTTTAAGTACCTTTATTTTGTTTGTTTAGTTTTATTTAATGTAGTGCTGGGGATGGAACCCAGTGCCTCATGCATGCTAGGCAAGTGCTCTACCACTGAGCCATAATCCCAGCCCTTAATAAAACTTTTTAAACATGGTTAGGAATAACTAAATGGTTAAACATTAACAATGACTTCTAGGACAGATAATTGGAAGCCTAATTGAGGAAGGAATGCCAGAGGAACAACTAAAATAAACCCTATCTGGCAACTTTGTTCAGGGTCAGAGCTAATATTAACTATATTGGTGTCTATTAGATTCCCCACCTGGTCTTGTACTGGATTGTACTGTATTTATTCAATGGGCAACATGTCAAGCTGTACAATTTCAATTCCACACTGTTAAATAAAAATTACAGGAGACCACTGTTTTTATGTAAATTTTTTATTTATACATGACAGCCAAATGCATTACAATTCTTATTACATATATAGAGCACAATTTTTCGTATCTCTGGTTGTATATATAGTATATTCACACCAATTTGTGTCTTGATATATGTACTTTGGATAGTAATGATCATCACATTCCACCATCATTAATTACCCCATGCCCCCTCCCTTCCCCTCCAACCCCTCTGCCCTATCTAGAGTTCATCTATTCCTCCCATGCATGCTAGGCAAGTGCTCAAAAAATGCTCCCTCTCCCTATCCCACTATGAATCATTGGAGATCACTCTTTTTTACTAAGCTCCTGCACTAGGCTCCAACAGATCAGATTAAAAATCAAAATGAAGTCACTCATACCACCAGGCTGAAACTAAATTGCTGTCTGATCTTCTCAGAAATCAGGAGAGATAATAGCTAAATTTCCTGAGCAGGGCAGTTTCAACTTGATGACAATGAAGTTCCCTCTGCTTTAATTCTTACTTTTAAAAAAAGGCAATTTTGGCTGGGGGTATAGCTCAGGGGTAGAACATGTGTTCAGCATGCAGGAGGCACAGCAAAAAAGAAAGGAGAAAAAGAAAGAAAGAAAATTAAACTGATGTTAACCTATCAGTTACTTTTATATTGTTCTGCCTCCCTGTCCTCACTTCATAAGGAAAGTGACTTTAAAACAACCAGTCTACCTTGGTTCTTTGTTTCTGCTTTCTTTGGTTCTTTCTCTGTTCATAAAACCACCTATTTATGCTCAGTTCATTGGAACACATTCTATTTATGGAATGTGGTGTTGTCTGATTCTAGAATTGCAAATAAAGTCAATATCTTTTAAAATTAAATATATTGTAATTTTGTCCTTTGACAATACTAATGGAAAATGATGTCCATATATCCTGATGCCTAAGTGTGATGTTCTATTTATGACTCTGTGCTTCTTGCTGAATCAAGTTCTGGACCAAAAAAGGGAGCAGGAAATCCAGTTACATTTCTTTGTATTACTGTGTGTCTTTTTCTAGAAGATTTCCTTCAAAAAAATGGAACAATAGCTGGGCTAGTGGTACACACCTATAATCCCAGCAACTTGGAAGGGTAAGGCAGGAGGATTGCCAAGTTTAAGGAGAACTTCAGCAATTTTTCTATTTTTATTATAGACCCTGTCTCAAAATAAAAAATAAAAAGGGCTGGGGGGCTGGGGTTGTGGCTCAGTGGTAAAGCACTCACCTAGCACATGTGAGACACTGGGTTTGATCCTCAGCATCACATTAAATAAATAAATAAATTTTTAAAAAAGAGCTAGGGGTGTAATTCAGTGGCAGAGTACTTGCCTAGCATGCATGAGACCCTGGGTTTAATCCCCAGTACTACAAAAAAAAAATAAAAGAAAAGATGGGACAGAGGGGAGAAGAAAGAAAGAAATAGAAAAAATATGGAAGAGTCACCCAAGACTGAGCTATACCCAAGGTTACCAAGCTTCTGGCATCCAGAATCAGAGAAACTCCTATTCTTTACTCTTTAAGGAACAAGTTCATTTCTATCAAGGAGGGTTTGTAGGGCTTCAAAATAAAGCCCATCTAAGCAATAACCCTTTCCTTGAAAGCACAAGTGTGCTTTCCAAGTGTGGGAGTAATTGAGAAACAAGGATAGAGAAGATGATGCTCTGAGTAAAAAGGAGCACGAGGTTATTTATTTTTCTCCACTTAGTGCTCAAACTAGTGCAGGTTGGCCACCATTCAATGTTCAAAAGCAATAAAGGGTTGGGCATTTAATATTTGAAGAAAGGATGCATCTGTTGGCCCAGTGCTTCATGGAAAAAACAAAAGCATTCAAAATTAAAATATTCTGTTCTCAATTCTGAATCATGTGGGCATGTCCAAATCCTTTTCTGCCTAATGTGTGTTGCTTTCCTGAAAGATTGGTTTATAGAGATTTGACAGAGTGTGTTAGCACATAGTCTGAACACTAAAGTCAGGAAGAGTCATTTTATAATTCTGTTTCTTCCACTTACTAGCTGTATTGTGCAGATAAAGTAATCTTTTGTGTGTGCTGTGGATGGAGCCCAGGGCTTTGTGCATATGAAGTATCCACCCTTATCAGTAAGTTACACCCCTAGCGTGATATACTTAAAAACTTTAATTTTCCCAGCTGTAAAATGGGTTATAATATACCTATGTCACAGATTTAATTGTGAACCTTAAATAAGATACTTAATACACAGCCTGACACATTTGAAATATATAACAAATATTATTTTTATTACCAGGGTATTTTTAAACAGCATTAAACTTCCTCTGTGAATCACAGAGTTATGGAAGACTGATAGCCATTTTCTCACAGCTGGATTATCTTGAGGGCTTGTAAGAAGTTGAATACTGCCCGTGCTTTACTGACTGCATTCTTTTTCTAGGTATTTCCAAGTGCTTTTGTTCCACCAAGAAAAAAGCAACCAACATAATCAAATAAATAACCAGACTCTGGCTGATTTCTGCAATAAACATAGAGAGGAAGAGGTAGTAGGGGTGGGGTGGAAAAGGAGGAGAGAGAACTTATATTTGAAAAGATCATGACCACTCAAGATATTTAGAAATTACAAAATACACAGAATTTCTGAGGAATTAAATTGCACAGTCAGGTATTCCATGATTTAAAATGTCTTTGAGAAAAAAATTTTGGCTGGGGGTATTGCTCAGTGGTAGAACATGTGTTTGGCACATGCAGGGTGGTGGGTATGATCTTCAGAACAAAACAAATGAAAGAAAGAAACTAAAAAAGGAAAAAAATTTCACAATCTTTTTGTGGTTCATTAGCTTTATTGTTCATATTATTGTACGAGATGTTCCTCCTTCAAACCTTGCTGTTACATTGGCACATTACGACTCTGATGTGAAAAAGAAAAATATTTTCTAAATCTACGATTCACTTGAGACCTGTTTTGGAGCTAAGAGATCTGGTTTGTTAGAAGTAGCATGCACTTATCTGGGAGTGGCTGCACATGTCTGTAATCTCAGGGACTCCAGAGGCTGAGGCAGGAGGATCGAAAATTTGAGGCCAGCCTCAGCAAATTAGCAAGACCCTGTCTCAAAATTTTAAAAAACAGAAAGGGCTTGAGTGATAAAGTGCCACTATGTTCAACCTTTATTACAAAAAAAAAAAAAAAGCATGCACATAAGAGTCCAAATCTATATCTCTTATTTACTAGTTATGCAATTGTCAATAAATTTTGGTTTTGCTGTTGTTTCTCACTGCTTGGGGCTTCATTTTCCTCAACTATAAAATGCTCTAAGCATCTTTCAAGGTCTTTGATAGAGTTAATGTGCATTTTTCTGGTACATAGTAGGAACACAGTAAATGGCAGCTATTATTATTTTAACTAAAGTCTGTCTTCCAAACACTCCTTGGTAGATAACCTGTGTCTGAATCTTTTGCAGGGTTTATTTAAAATCAAAATTCCAGCTGGGCATGGAGGAACATGACTGAAATCCCAGTGACTTCAGGAAGCTGAGGCAGGAGGATCACAAGTTCGAGGTCAGCCTCAGCACCTCAATGAGTCCCTAAGCAACTTAGAGAGACCCTCTCTCAAAATGAAAAATAAAAAGGTCTGGGGATGTAGTTCAGTGGTAAAGTTCCCATGGATTCAATCTCCAGTACCAGAAAACAAGTAGATAAATAATCCTGATTTCCACCCTAAAATATCTGAATTAGAATCCTGCAACATGGATAGAATCTGCATTTTAGTTAAGTAGTCCTCCCACCTCTCCCTTATGCGGGTGTTAAGATATAGAGGGTGGGAATCTGCACTTGGAATTTTTCTCTTGCTGAGTCCTTGGGGGAGGGAAGGTCTCTTGGAAACTGGTGATTTTCAGTAAAAATGCTAAAAGGAGAGACATTCCTATGAAGAGACTGAGAAAGCAGGGGAAGATATTATATTGAAAGCACAGCCCCAAAGGGCTCAGAGGAAGATATTGGGAGAGTGGAGAACAGTGCAGGTGAAGATCTAAGTGGATTTCCAGGTGACCTCTATGGAAATGTGAATTTAGGTGGGTGTAGACCAGATGGGCTTGAGGTTTTTTTATGGTGAATAAGGAGACTCAAGATAAGGAGCAGAGATGGGTCATCTTGTCTCCAAAGAGAAACTTGGTATGTAGTTGTTTTAATGTCAGAGATAGTCCATAATCAACCTAATCTAACTTCTATTGTTAGAAACAAAACATCTTATTTATTTATTTAAACATCTTATTTTCACAGTTTAAATAAATGTCAGAGAACTCATTTATTAATATAGATTACTCAATCTCCAGCCCTGCAAATAAATAGGATAATATGTCTTCTATAAATCCATGCCTCTGTCTTTTCTCTTATGCACTGCTTTTAATTAGTTACATCAAGATTACTTTCTAGTTGCTTTGGTATGAGTTGTAAAACTGTTCTGTGCTTTCTAAACCAGAGCATCTGAACCTTTATGTTTGGATAGGTAAGATGGGTGATACTGCTTCACCAGTCAGGTTACTTTTAAATTCCCAGAAAGCCTAGAACAAAGAGAGAATTTTCATCACTATTGTAATAGCTGGGGAAAAGGGCATGACAGTTAATCTACTTTGAATTCCTCTGATATTAATGTAATTAGCCAAGCATATTTTATTTCTACTTATGGCAGAATATTTGCAATAGTACTTCCTATTTCTAGAGTATATTTTCATGGGGGATAACAATCCCAGTTAATCCAGTTACAGGCTATTTGTGGGAGGAACAATATGAATCACAATATACTCTTTCAAAGAGTTGTCCTGAATCTAAAGATTTTCAATAACAATGCCAGTTTAAACCAGGCATTTGCCCTGTGCCTTGGCATGTACACATAGTCCCAGCTAAAAGGGGGTGTTCTGTTGTTAGAAACAAAAGCAATTGTAAGCTTTACTACTAGCCTAAGGCAAATCTACAAGATGCTGTTTTTCAAGCTTTTCAGCTAAAAATACCTTCTACAGATGGTAAGAAATAAAAAGGGCTCTACTTTCAGGCTTTGTGTGCTTCATTCCCTAATCTTTATTTTTAAGACCTATGAGTTGCCTCCTAAAGCATGTTACTGGGGCCCCTTCAATGGAATAAATGCATCAGTGTTAGCTTCCACACCTCTTTACAAAATGGATGTAGATTGAACTCCACTCTCCCAGCAGGTCTCTTTTTTCTTTTTTACTAGATACTAGAATCAAACCAGAAGTCAACCACTGAGCTACATCTAGAGACAATTTTATTTTAGTTTTTTTTTTGTTGTTGTTATTGGTTTGTTTTTGTGTGTATGTGTGTGTTTTTTTTTTTTTTTTTTTTTGGAAACAGGGTCTTGCTAGTTTGCTCAGGCTGGACTCGAACTTGCCATCCTTCTACCTCAGCCGGATTTGTGAATTGTGCTCAGGACAGAGATTGTATCTTTTGTATATCTAGTCCCAAAGCCTAGCACAGAGCAATGGGGCACACAATACTTATTGAATTAATTACTTAATTAAACGAATAAATTAATGAATCAGAGGGCTGGGGTGTAGCACCATGATAGAGCCCTTGTCTGGCATGCATGAGGCCCTGGGTTAAGTTCCCAAGCCCCAAATTAAATAAATCAAATTAATTAATCAAAGATTATTTTATCTTGTTTCTTTCCATTCTGCTCTCCCCTTCCTCTGGTCAAACTGAAGAATATATTTAGAGTTCATATCTTTAATCTAATGTGAATTCCTAAAAGAGCAAATTTGGTAAAATGGAAGTGCCAAGCAGTAGACATTGTTTTCTGGTTAAATTGACTTTGATCTGTGATTCTAATTCAAAATATTTTAAAATATTTTCATTAGTACATTGTAGTTATACAGAATAGTGTGGTTCATTTTGATGTAATCATAAATGCATGGAATATAATTTGTTTCATTTCAGTCTCTAGTACTTCCTTGTACTCCCCTCAAGTTTTTTTTTTTTAATAAAGCACTCCCTGGCTCAGTGACACACACCTATAACTGAGGCAGGTGGACAGCAAGTTCCAGGCCATCTTCGGAAGCTTAGCAAGACCCTGTCTCACAATTAAAAATGTTAAAAGGCCTGGAGAGTTAGCTCAGCAGTAGAGTACACCTGGGTTCAATCCCCAGTAGTGAAAGAGGTAAGGGGAGACAGTACTTAAACTAAATGAACTGGTATTTTGTGGATGTATTTTTTTTCACATAGCCAGGGGAATTTCTTAAAGATAAGGGAGTACTGAAATCTTAAAATCAGTGAGTTTATCCACTATCAAGAAAAATTTAGTTTCAAACACATAGCAGCCACCAAACTTAAAAAAAAAAACTTTAATTGGATAATATAGCTCCTCTTTTTAAAACCCTTCAACAGCCTCCCATTGCTGTTTGGATAGGATACAAAATCCGTAATATGAACTTCAAGCTAATTCGTAATTCATTCAAGAAATATTGATTGAATGCTTATTGGGTATTTTAAGCTTGGAAACTAACAGCCATGAGGGGATTGGGCAAATCCTCAGTTCCCACGGAGCTTACAGGAGGAGGGATAGGAGCAGGTCGGGGAAAGACTGACAGACTATAAACAAATAAAATCAATAAACAGACCAGATAAATTCCAATGTGATGAGTGTTGTGAAAAAAAATAAAATGGGACATTTGTTACAGAAAATAAGCTTTTTTTTTTTTTTTTTTTTTTAGTTTCCCAGGCTCCTCTTAATCACCCCAGAGAATTTCTACAATACTATTCCCTCTCCCAAGGCTCCTCCCTAGTCTTCCTGAAACATCATTCTCTCTTCAGGTCTCAGCTAAAAATGGCAGCTTTTCTCAGTTAAAGGCTCCTTTTATATACTTCATTTGTACACAGGTCTTCTTTGTAACATTAATTACCTGGATAAGTATTTGTCGGGAGTTGCCACAGGTAGGGTCTTCTTGTGTGTGGTCTTGTTGATATAGGTACAAACATATCCCTTCCAAACAGCCCAGGTATCCTTAAAATGAACAGAAGGACATTGTTTTATTTTTTTCTTAAAGGTCACTTGATCAAGAGTAATAAAAACCATTTGAAGATCACATATAAGTGACAAAGGAAATGCAATTAGTCTGAATGAAAACTAAGTATTCAGTGATTGATTCAGATCATATTTTATTTGCATGTATACTCATCTAGACTTTTTCTAAGCATATTTATGCATACCTTTTAATATAAAAAGTAATCATACATATTATTTTGTAAATTGCTTTTCTCACTAAATTTATAACCTGAACAAATGCTATTCACTGGGAGCTGGGAGGCACGCTGGGGATGGAATGCAGGACTTTTAGCAAGATACGCCAGCTCTCTGAGTTATATCCCCAGCCTGAATGCTGTTTTTTTTATTTTTATTATTATTATTATTATTATTATTATTATTATTATTATTATTTGTACCAGGAATTGAACTCAGAGGCATGCAACCACTGAACCACATCCCCAGCCCTATTTTGTATTTTATTTAGAGACAGGGTCTCACTGAGTTGCTTAGCACCTCCCTTAAACTCACAATCCTCCTATCTCAGCCTCCCAAGCCCCTGGGATTATAGGCGTGTGCCACCGTGCCCGGCACTGAATGCTACTCATTTTTAATGCCTATGTAGTAGTCTACTATGTAGAACTAACTGTAATTAACTAATTATTGTTGAGTAGTTACCTTTCTTGATTTTTCAACATTTTCATTCTACATTACAATTAGCCTCTTTGAGATATATAAATATATAATACATATTTGCAAACTTGTTCATTTCTTTCCTGAAAGTGAATTTCTGAATGGAAATTTGTTGGTCAAACAATATGGATATATTGAGGCTTTTGATTCACGTTATCAAATTGCTTGTAAAAAGTTATATCAATTTGTGCCACTAAGCATACAGATGTGCCCATTTCATTCTTTTTTTTCTTTCTTTTTTTTAAATGTGTCCATTTCATAGAATCTTCATCAATACTTAAGTCTTTTTTTAGTTGTAGGTAGACACAATACCTTTATTTTTCATTTATGTGGTGCTGAGGATCGAACCCAGGGCCCCACACATGCGAGACACATGCTCCACCGATGAACTACAACCCCAGCCCCAATACTTAATAAGTTGTTTTTTTTAGGTGTAGATGGACACAACACAATGCCTTTATATTTATGGGGTGCTGAGGATCGAACCTGGGTTCCGCCCATGCTAGGGGAGCACTCTACCGCTGAGCCACAATCCCAGCCCCTTAATAAGTTTTTAAATCTTGGAAATTCTGATAGGCAAAAAGAGAAATCAGTTTTTATTTTCATTGATTACTAGAGAGGCTGAATATATTTTCATATGATTATCAGTCAAGCATTTTCTTTTTTGAATTGCCCATTTGTGTCCTTGCACATTTTGAAAAATTTTTTTTAGTTGTAGATGGACACAATACCTTTTGTTTGTTTTTATGTGGTGCTGAGGATGGAACCCAGTGTGTCACATGTGCTAGGCAAGAGCTCTACCACTGAGATACCCCAGGCCCTTTGCATATTTTAAAACTGGGATATTTGGGGCTGGGGCTATAGCTCAGTGGTAGAGCGCTTGCCTCACAGGTGTGAGGCCCTGGGTTCCATCCTCAGCACCACATAAAAATAAATAAAGATATTAAAAAACTGGGATATTTATCTTTTTAAAAAACGAATTTTTATTTAAAAATTTTAGTTGACTCATGATTCTATTCATACTTGAGTGGCTTCTTCTTGTTTTTAAAACCTTCAATTTAAAAAAAAATCAGGGCTGGGCATGTAGCTCAGTGAGAGCATTGGTTTAGATGCCAGAAGGGTTCAACCCCCAGCACTAAAAAAATCAATTCATAATAGTTTATTATTATAGACTAGTGATATTTAGCCATGTGTTTTATATATATATTCAACTTGCCAGTTTGTCATTTGTCTTTTAGTTTCATTATAAAGTAACATTACCTTTAAGCTATCATATGTCATGTTGAAATTATAGTTTTTTCAGTTTGTCATTTAACTTTATTAACCTTGTATTTTAACATTCTGAAGCTTTACTTATATTTAGGAAATTGTATTTATCAGTCTTTTCCTTTATGGATTTTTATTATATTTAGAAAGTCCTTCTCCATCCCCAAGGCTAAAGAAATTCACCAATATTTTCTCCTACTTCTTTGATGATTTTATATTTTACTTAAGCTACTTACACCTCAAGAATATGTCACAGAGTGGCTGGCAGTCTCAGGTCACTGAAGAATTCATTTCATGCATTCCAGGTAAACATTATAGTAAGTTATTATGAAAACAAGACAAAAACTGAGTAGATATACAGCACCTAAATCATATATCACATTGTCAAAAATGAAAATATCGAATCTGCTGGTAAGATGAACAGGATATAAGGGGTATTGTTTTAATGGCTTGGGATGAAATTTTGCTTATATTCCAGGCTCATGAAACTCCATTATAACTAAGAGGGCAATTATCCCAAAATATATAAGGGCCTACTACGCAGTTTATGGGACTACAACAGTGAATAAAACAGAGAATTGCTGCTCTTAAAGATAGGGGTAAACCAATATTTCGGTAAGTGCCTTACAGAAAACTAAGCAAGTAGGGGCATGGGAGAGATTAGTATGGTAGATAGGGTGCTCAAGAAAGGTTTTCTCTGGGGAGGTGAGTATTTAAGAGGCTTGGATGATGAAAGTAAAGAATGAAAAATATGCCAGCTTAGGTCAAGTAGTTGAGGTGGGAACAAGTAGGTTTGTTGGGAAAAGAGTAAAAAAGTCACCCTAGCTGTTGTGTTATCAGAAACCAGAAAAATGAGGGAGGCAAGAAGCACCCCTAAAACCTGGGTAAGATTATTTTTCTTAACTGTGAGAGGAATTGGATGCTACGGGCACATTCCCCCCATTCCTTCAGGCATTGCCATCTGAGAGGCTTTCTTAACCACCCTTTGATGAATTCCACTCCTATCAGATTTTCCCTTTCTTTTACCATCACCCAACCCTTTTCAAGTATTTCAAAGAATTACCACCCTAGATTGTTTTCTACCACTTTTAAACACTGTAATTCCCATTTGCCCTACAGGATACTTTGTCATCCCTATTACCTCCTTTACCCAAATTTTCTCCCTAGCATTTATCAATGGCTAATGTAATAGTTTTGTTTTTTAAATCCTAGTGGATTATCAAGAGCTACGAGAATTGAGGTTTTAGTCTATTTTAATTTCTTTAAAATTTTGGTCTACTTTAATTTTCTCAACATTCACGACGGTGCCTGACCCAGAGTTGGTGCTCAATAAATGTATGTTGAATTAAATGCAGGATGCTGTATGAGCTGGTCTGGACTGACTGTGTAAATCGATGCTAGATTAGACTAATACCACATTTCTCGCTCTCTGAAAAAGGCTTCAAGCAGCCAGACGGTGACGTCCTTCAGTTTACAAAATGGGAAAGCAAAGGTTCCCACAATTCTCAGAACGCGAATTTCTCGCCACAATTCAAAATGGCGAAAGAGGGTGGGGCCTGTCACATGGTGGGCGTCATAGCAGCTTTCCTTTTCCAAACCCACGCCCGCCTTGCCGCGTCGTCGGCCGTCCCCCTCCTCTGCCCGCCGAGCCTTTTCAAGGAATCGACTGGGATTGGCTAACTGGCTGGGAGTGGGGCTGCGGAGCCCGGACGCGGCATCATCACTTCCTGTTGTGGGCAGTCGTTTCCTGTCGCTGCTTGGTAACAATGGGGAAGATAATGGCTGCCTGAGCAACGTCTCGGAGCAGGCGCTGGGGTAGAGGCGGGTCTCAACCAGCGACTCATCGGAGGCGGGCTTGAGAGAGGCGGCTGGGGAGGCGCGGAGAAGCCTCAGCGGAGACGGCCGAAACAACCGAGTGAGATCCTGAGCCTAAAACCGAGTAAGTGAAGACATGGGAATCCTCTGAGAAATGGATGTAGAGCGAGAGGAAGACAGCTGAGCCACTGCTGCCGCGTCCTCTCAAAATGGCCCGAGTGACGCGTTGTGGCAGAGGCTCAGCGCCGCCTCCGGACCCCAGGCCCGTTGCTTCGGGGGGCTCCGTGGCGTAGTCGCCGCTGCCATTTTAGTTGGGTGGTATACTCGTCCGGCTCTTTGAAGAAGGGGAAGAGGAGGTGGGTAGTAGTTCCTTTCCGTGGCCCCGCGAGCCGCAGCCCGGGCCCTCCGGAGCCTTAAGAATTAAGGGGAGGCGGTGTTTTGGCCTCGGGCGTGAGAATCTTACAGTGCCTCGGGTTTTTCTCTCTGTTCTTGGGGGGAGGCTTCCCTCTCCACCCCTCGTTTTACATGGTGGGCTCGGGTTTGGGAAAAGGGGTAATATCTGGCTGCTCCGAGTCAGATGCTGGGAACTTTTGGGCCTTTAGATTTTCCCAGGATTTACAAAACCCTATTTTGAGCCCTTATGCAGGGCTTTACCAATTAGGCGCCCCCTGGGGCCGCGATGACATCTTCCTTGAAGGAACTGAGGCAACTGTGGTGTACTCCCTTGCTCTTATAACCCTGGTGTATCCTTTGCCAGTTATCACTGGAAGGATCCCCCCCAAAAAAAGGGAGGGAAAAGCCGTTGCATGTTTGTTGTTTTTCTTTGGGCAAGGTTGGGAGTTTGGCCAAATTATTTTCAAGTTAATTTCCGTTCAATCCTCCCAACAACCCAACCCCTCCCCCCCCACACACAAAAAAAAGCCTAAGGGTCTCTCTGCTTCTGCGGGCGGTACCTGCCACGTACGCCATAGCTAAGTAACTAGTATTAACCGGTTGGGCTTCTGCTTCCTGAATACTCAGTCCCTTTTTCCCTTATGCTGATTAATTTCAAGATGGAGGAGACAGCCACGTTCCTTCCCTAGACAGTTTCACCATACTTATTCCACAGGTTAGTCCGGGAATCTGAGGCCTACCTGACTTGTTATTTAGGTCATTTTTTCGTTTGGGGGCAAAAGGAAGTATTTATATCAGATTGTCATGCACCATTTGCAAGGCCCCACAGTAATTTTTTGCTGGAAATAAGGAGCCTGCAATTCCTGGGGCAGAATTAACCGCAGTGCTTTTGATGATTGAAGAGAGGAAGAAATGATAAATGTACTAATAACCATTTCTTTGGCTCTTCGTGATTACAAAGTAATTACTCATATCACCTCCATCAGGTACATTGTGTTAGTCCTGGAGGACTTGAGAGCAGGCAGGCACAGTTATAGGCCTGCCCCCTACTCAAATAGTTTTCTAAACTGTGAAAATATAAGTTAAGTACCCAAAAAGATGAACCCAAATCCTTCTTAAAATACAATTTTAGGACAGACTCCTCTTATTGAAACATGTCACAAATGTGGTGATTTTTTTTTTTTTAAGTATCTTAGACCCTGCCTTAGCTAGTGTAATGTGCCAAATAAGGCATTGAAAGTGACTATCAGAATCTGAAAATAATTACTGGTCTGATAAGGAAAGGCCTATTTTAAGCAAGTTTATATTAAAAAGTAGATTGCCTCTCAGCCTGTAAAGAAATCTTATACTAATTCCTGGTTCCCTCTCACTTTCTTCATCTCCCCAAATATTCTGGTACTAATATTGAGTTAGGTTGGGTTATGATTGTGTAACTAAAATACATAGGATGTGTATTTTTAAAGGATGTGTCTTATTTCAAAAAAAGAAATGTATCTTATAAAAGAGGAAGAATAATGGATTCTTTTTTTTTCTAGAGCAGAGTGTGAAGAAAACTAAAATCCAGTTTATTGTAATTCAATACTATGTCATAACAGTCAGGTAATTTATTTTTTGTTGCGTCTCCTGATGATTTATATGTAGAATGCATGTTTACAAATATTTATTGTTCTGTTTTACAGGCCCTGTGGTTGGATGGGCTCATTGATATATATTAGTTGGTGTTGGGCATTCTTCATGATGAGAATGGGTATTTTTCACTGGGAATTCAAAGGGTAATGTTTCTCAGTACCTGAACTCACCAGTGCTTTATCTGTGAATTTTACTCTTTATCAGTACCTGTATAGAACAGAAAGAAAAATGGTTGCCTTAAATCATTGTTAGAACAACCCAAATATAAAAATAAAATAGCTTTTTAATTTCAGTGAATAGCTAAATGAAATATCAGAATATCTTACAGGAATGTAATTTACATTATTGTGTGTGGTGTTTGATTTTTTTTTCCCTTCACGATTCAAAAATCATTGGTATATAATACCCTAATTGATGTTAATGCCTTTTATTATCATCACCATTGTTAAAGTAACCACATAGATTTATTGCCCTAACCAGGACACTTTTAAAAGCAAAGGGAACATTATTAATAGTTATTCCAGCACAATAGGTGCAAACCTAGATTATCATAGGCAAACTGGGATGGATAGCCTAAATTCATAACTAACTTCTGTTGAGGGCTTGTGTACTACTACAAAGCATCCTGAGAGGATGTTAATTTTTACAGAGAGCACTGAAAGTTAAGTAATTTGTCCTCAGTTAAAAAGCTAGTGAATGGTGGAACCTTCATTTTATCTCAGGTCTGTCCCACATTCAAGTCACCAAACTTTAATGCCCCTAGACCTCCCTGTTGCCCAGTTACATCAGAAATGCAGTGAAAATGAAAAGTTGTAATAAGTCTCTAGGTTATGTTGCACTAAAAAGTTTTGTTAACTTAGCTGGGGGTGGTGATACCTGTAATCCCAGCTACAGGAGAAGCTGAGGCAGGAGGATGGCAAGTTCAAGTCCAGTCTCAGGAACTTAGCAAGAACCTATCTCAAATTTTTGAAAAAGACTTGGGAGCAGCTCAGCGATAAAGCCCCTCAGGGTTCAATCCCCAGTACTCCCAGCCTCCCCTCCAAAAAAAAAAAACAGGTTAACTGTTAAAAGTAATCTACTTTATGAAGCAGGTGACACATACCTTGCAATTATCCCTGCTTTTTTGTTGTTGGTGTTCTGTTACAGTTTGTTTCAACTATTAGAGCTCTTGATACAGGTTGGTAAACTTAATTTGAAAATTAGAAAAGGTTTAGGAAAAGGTTAATTAATAGTAAAATTCCTAGAAATATTAGGCTGATGAATATCTTTCAGATTAGTGAACATGTAGCGAGATGTTAACTAATACCATAGGTTAAATGGGGTACGTGTATTTATGGGATTATACTATGTGTATATTACTTCTTCCATAGCTCTGGTGGTCTGGGAAATAGAACACATCATTGACCAACCTCCTATTTCCTGGATTTACCTTAGTATGGATTACAAATTAGAATGTGAGAAGTCTTGTCCAAGATCAGTGAGTTGCTGGAATTGGGGCCACTGCCTAGAATGGGGACAACTGTTTCTTTTGTAAGTCTACTTCTTAAAATTTTGTGTAACACAAAGATTTCTAAAACCTTATGGCCTGTTGATTTCTAGAAGTATCCAGGTTATGCAATACTTTGAAGTTGTGTTGTGTTTTGTTTGTGGATACTTGAGATTGAATCAGGGGGTGCTTTACCATGGAGCTTGGGATCCTTCTGCCTCAGCCTCCTGAGTAACTAGGATTACAGGTGTGCACCACAGAGTTTTGATAACTAGTATAAGCTACCAATCATATTTATGTCTTTTTTTCAATAATCATAATAGCATCTACATATGTGCAAGACATATCCATAGACAGCATCTGGTGTATACATATAGATTTATGGACCTCTTGTAATTTTACAACTGCAGGTTAAGTTGCTGTTACAATGTTTGATGGTTTAATGGAGTCTGAATATTAATGAACATGAAACTTTCTGGCAGAGAAGGAGATATTTGTGTTAAATGTTTTAAATTTTTTCTGGAGTGAAAAAAGTCCCCTTCCTCCTAATCTCTACGACTGTAGGAAGAAGTTAGCTATAATTTTCATTGATCAAAGTTCCCTTTAATAGTAGTTAAAACTAAGGTGACCATATAAAGTACCCAAACTGAAATACTTTTTTTTTTTTGGTACTGGGGATTGACACTCAACCACTGGGCCACATCTCCAGCCCTATTTTATATTGTATTTAGAGACAGGTCTTGCTGAATTGCTGAGGATGGTCTCAGACTTGTGATCCTCCTGCCTCAGCCTCCCAAGCCGCTGGGATTATAGGCTTGTGACACTGCACCCAGCCCAAACTGAAATATTTTGAGAACAGATTAATCATTATTTTAGCACAAGTATGAACCATTACTCTTCTGGACAAAACAGGCATATATGGGCATCCCCATGTCAAGTCTATGTAGGAACACTTGTTCAGGAAGGACAATTGACAGAATGCTGGTCCAAAATAAAATTGTTTTCCTCAAATAATATGTGACTGGTGTAGATAAAATATTTTAAGTTGATTTTTTTAAAATAGGAAATCTTTTCTTTACTCTCCCCCCGCCCCAATAGGAAATCTTAAGTTCTTAAAATCGTATGTTAGTTGATGATGAATACCAGCATTGCCAGTAATTAGTGATTTTACATTAATAACTTTTAATAAACACTTGAACCTTCTTTTTTTTAACTTCTTGGAAGCAATGAGAGCAGCAAATCAAAATTGAGTTTATGAATAAGACCAAATTCTGATTTAGTGATGTAACTCAATAGAATAACATGAAATGGGTAATGAGATTAAGGTACTTGAATGAGACAAAATGTTGTCATAATGGTTTTCTTCTTTAACTGACTTGATGGTATAAATTGGCAGCATGGCATATTCTTCTGTCCTTTGATCTACTTTACTGGAGTTCTTGGTACTCTTGTTTCAATTTAACTTTTTTAGAGGGTTGTAGTGGTCAAAATTGTAAGTTGCTAGTTAATAGACTTCCTGCCAAGAGATTAGACACAGGAGGGACATTCCTGAGTCCTTTTGATTTGTTTTTGCTGCCCTTTACAGGTGGTAAAGATAGAATAATACAAGTGAGGCTAAGCTACTACTGCCATTCAGATAATTTATAATCTCTTATTGCTGTAGTAGTAGCAGTGGTGAATGCCTTGGTAGCATCTTCTGATAGGCCACTGTTAGAAATTCTCAACAAATTGTGTGGTTGGTGAAAGGTATCTTGCAATTAGTAGAGATAGTAATACATCAACCTTACCCTGTTTCTTTTTTTTTTTTAAAAGAACGTTTTATATTTCGTTTTACAAAGATAAGGTAATCAAGTAAAGGGAGATAAAAATACATAGTGACCAAATCTACAGTGAGGAAAGCACAGTTTCTAAGTTTACATGTTATTTACGTTATTTCTTAAGTTTTACTTTTTTAACCTCTTAGATTGCATCTTAATCAAAATCACAGATTCGTTGACATGGAAGGTACCTTGTATATGGCTTAGTCTAATATTGTATAATGTTGAGGGAGATCTTGAGGCACAAGAGGTGTAATGATTTGATTAAAATTCACATAGCCCGGTTACAGACAGCACTAGAATTTTTATTTTCTTTTTCATAGAGCTGAATTCCCCTCTGCTATCCATGTATAGAATAAACAAGTTATCTGGTTGTTACCAAACATTTATGTGTCTATTAAAAATGTCATAAATTTTAATTACACATTCTATATGTGAAGAATTGACAGCACTTTCAATGTATACTCATATGATGATACTTTATATCCTCACTTCAAATTCAGTAGTGATTTAACTTTTTAAAAACTTTATAAAAAACTATAAAAACTTTTTTAAAACTATATAAAATAATTTTGGTGATGGCATTATTGAGCTAACATTTTGTTGACAAAAGATCACATGCCATTAATGCTTATATCCTTTGGTAGGTTTTTTTTAAGTTCTGGGGAGTGAACCCAGGGGTGTTTTACCACTAAGCTATATCTCCAGCCCTTTTTATTTTGAGACAGAGTTTCACAGAGTTGCTGAACCTGGCCCCAAACTTGTAATCCTCCTGCTTCAGCCTCCCAAGTTGCTAGGAAATTTTTTTCCCTTTTGGTACTGGGGATTGGACTCACAGGTGCTCAACCAATGAGCTATATACCCTGGTCTTTTTTTTTTTTTTTTTTTTTTTTGATACAGGGTCTTGCTAAGTTGCTGAGGCTGTCTTTGAATTTTTTGATCTTCCTGCTTCAGCCTCCTGAGTATGCCACCATACCTGGCTTAAATGACTTTTCAACTCTTAATATCATAACAAAATTAATTTTTTATTTAAACTGGTTTGTCCTACTCTAGCATGTTATCAAGTTTGGAACTTGGATGAACGGGTATGCAAAAGGTGATGATGCTCAACATATTTTAGTGGTTGGTTGATGTTAGATTACTTTAATTCGTTCATCTAACCCAGCCCTTTTTTGTTTTTAGAAAGAGGCAGTTTCTTCCAGACTTAACAGACATAGCTTATTTTAAAATCAGCATTTACACAAGCATTTAACTTGATGTTTCAAGATTGTTTTTTTTAAGTTGTCAGTTGACATTTATTTATTTACTTATATGTGGTGCTGAGAATCGAACCCAGTGCCTCACATATATTAGGCAAGCACTCTACCACTAAGCCACAACCCCAGCCCTCTTATGTTGTGTGTGTGGAGCTTGGATTTGAACCCAGGGTCAAGATTGTTTTCTAAGTCTATTTTGTTAACAGTTTTTAAGCTTTTTGTTAACAGTTAAGGGTACTATGATGTAGTATAGCCATTTATTATGTGCGTATTTATACTGAGCTCCAGATCTCCTGACTCATTAATACTAAAAAATAATAAGTGAATTTTCTCTTTAATTTTTGTGGTACAGGGGATTTAACTCTGGGGAGCTCTACCACTGAGCTACATTCCCAGCTCTTTTTATTTAAT